TGAGAGTATTACTTTTTATTATTATTTCCTTTCAAATCTGATTTGCAGAGCCTCAGGATATTAGACTTCAGAAATGCATAGACACAGACATTTCAAGTGAAACAAACACTTTTCTCAAAGGTACAAGAGCAGGAACCCTCAGGTATCAGCGTCCGTAAGCACTTGACCGTGCTGCTCCAAGAGGAACCCATTCACTCCAAAACACGCCTCCCTGGAGGCTGGCTGTCAGACACCCTGCCAAACGTGCCACCCAAAACAAGAGGTCCGTATGGGTCCTCCGAGCAGATCACGCTCCTGCAGACCCATCCTGTGTGCAGCAGGGGAGGTGCTGACCTGGAGCTGGGAACGGCGCATCTCACAGCCGGAGGCTTCAGGTTCTCCTCGCCTGGGACAGAGGTGGAGAACAACCGGAATCCTGGAGAAGAGTGGGAAGATGTTTCGGCCTCTGATTGTTATTTTTTCACATGGGTAACATGGCTGCTGGGTAATTTTTAAAATAATTAAAATGTGTCAGAATTAATAAGAATACTTTTTCACAGCACTATATTTTATATGTATGTCTATCTATACGTGTGTATATTCATACATACGCACACGCATTGTGCAGCAAACACTTTCACATGGAGCCACATTCAGCAACTTACTCACTGATACTACAGCTTGAGTTATGAGTTCATCTGAATCAGTCTGCATCCTAACTCCCCCATTCTAAATTCCCCCAATTACCATCATCATCATCCTCTTCCTCATGGTCCAGCCTTGGAGTCCTCTGGAATTCTGCACTGGTACCATCTGAAATGTAACTAGTCATACAAAGTGAGAATGAGACTGACAATTCAATAAGTCCATCCACCATCCACATTTTAAGCATTTCTCCCAGTCAGGGACACCTGGAGCCTCTCCCATAAGGCTGGGGACACCCTGGACGGGATGCCAGTCCATCCCAGGCGGCATAAGGCTGGGGACACCCTGGACGGGATGCCAGTCCATCCCAGGCGGCATAAGGCTGGGGACACCCTGGACAGGATGCCAGTCCATCCCAGGCGGAATAAGGCTGGGGACACCCTGGACGGGATGCCAGTCCATCGCACATACATCCACAAGCTAACATTCCCATTTCACATACTGCTGGCAATTCAGAGATGCCAGTTATCCTAACTGCATTTCCATGAATCGTGGGAGGAAACTGGACTCAGTAGAAAATCACCATGTGACATGAGGGCATGCAAGTTGTGAGCAGGGCAGGCCGGCATGTGTTAGGTGACAGCCAATCACCATGTGACAAATCAATGACCAATTGAACATATGTGGGATCAGCTCGGACATCACCAATTTGCAGGATCTCAAGGGCAAGTTACAACAGCTGTGGGTCGACTTGCTGCAGGAGAGGATACAACGGCTGTCTGACTCCCTTCTGCCCCGTATCGCTGCATGTGTCCAGGCCCGGGGGGGGGGGGGGGGGGGGTGCCACACCCTACTGACATGGGACCAGCAGTGCGCCCATACTGCCAACTCTGTTGTCCATTAGATCTGACATTAAAATCATTGTGATACAGTCACATGACCTTTCACCAGGTGCAGATTCATTTAATTTCCACCACTCCGTCTGGGTGATCAACATTCTTTGTCACTGAGTGTATTAACTGGGTTGTCAAGTTTAGTCAGCTGGCTGAAGTGAGATTTTCAATTCGAGACAAGTCTACACACAAGCACACATATTTACATGTATGTAACAATTTTATTACCTTGTAAATAGTCTGTAGGGTTTGCAAACTACCCTAATGCTTTTGATGTTGCTAATTTTAGGTTTATAATGGAATAACATATATTTGCCGTAAGATGTCGCGTGAGCGTGAGTCTGACAGCGTGAGCTTCACGCCAGATGTGTGAGTTGGCAACCCTGAAAAGGTGTATCTTTAAATTATTTTACCCAAGTTTATTTGTATAAAAAAATAACATTATTTTATACACTTAAAACATAAACTTTGACGAACATAAAATCACCAATAAATTACGTCTATTAATCCAATATTTTATAAAATTCTGCATTCGAAAACTTTTCAGCTTTACGATTTCAGGACTTAGCAGCAACTCTGTTAGGAACATTCCGGCTTTTTGGTTTAGGGTGTTAAATTCGCTGCTGTTATTAATGCTAATGGAACATTAGCGCCAACAAAAGGGCTGTATAACACCATGCCACCCAGCGCAATAAGCACTATTAACACTACTGAACAGATGCTACTGTGGGCATAAAACTAAAGTGATCACCAAGCGCCAAACAAACGTTTTATCTCCTTCGCCCTCAGCACGCACCTATCTAGCACAGATCCCAGTTTCTTTGCGACATGTGTGCGGAATTCAGGGGTCGTCTGGAGTTCATTGCCGTCGTGTTCGTGCTGGGACACATTAATCCTGGGCAAAAAAACAGTACAGAATTACCATGTGAATTACAAAATTATTCACATACAAGTATTATGTATAAAACGAGTTTCGGGTAAAACGGAACTTACCGACGACTTGGCTGGTCTTTAGAATCTCCACCTAAACAAATAGTACCATTTTGTGTTACTATATTTTTCTGATCAATTGTTTAACTGTTTATCAGCAAAGGTTTATAGACGTATAATACTGTGGTCAAGCTATCCATGCTTCGCCGAAACACGGTCAAATCATCCACGCTCAAAATGTGAGGTACACGCAAAGACATGACATTACGGTATCAGCCGTACATTACGGTTTAGGAAAATAAGACTCCAAGCGATCGCGCATAGGAAAAGGGGTGAGTACTCGTATGTACAAAGTACAGGATATACTTAAATGCAATTAATGTCTTACTTTCCCATAATGTATGTACAAGTCATATGGCATCTGAAAGGGACCGTTCAAGGCTATTTCCTAAACAAATATGGTCAGATTTAATATACCACTTAAAAGAATGCATTTTGAAATCCATATCATTTTATGTTATGAGCCAGGTTGGACAGCTCATTTCTCAGGATTATCCCCTAAGGTACAAACATATCTGGTAGCCCCTGAAAGACAAGGGCCTAGGTATATCTCGAACAAATTTTTTGCAACTTTGGTGTGTCTGCTTCACACATGGGCTTCTTTGTGAAATCTATGCTAGTGCCTTTTCTTGAACATGGTAAAGTATAAGTTGACCAAATATTGTGTGGAGGTAGCCTAGGCCCTTGGCTTTCAAGGGATACCAGAAATGTTTGCACCTTAGGGGGAAATCCGGAGAAATTACCTGTCAAACTTGGCTCATATATTCCAGTGCTTATACTGTAAAACCATGGATTTCAAGATGCATTTTCTTAAAAATGCTACAGTGAATGTTGCCCAAATTTGGCGGAGGTATAGCGTAGGCACTTGCCTTTCAGCACGTACCAGAAATCTTTATACCTGTCAAACTTGGCTCAAATAATAATAAATAATAATTGATAATTAATTGATCCCCGTGGGGAAATTGTCTTTATGCCTCCCTCAACTTGCTCTTTGTAGAGCAAGCTGTCCGCGAAGGGCAGCCACCTGTAGCGGCGCCCAGGGAGCTGGGGATTGAGGGTCTTGCTCAAGGACCCGCAGATGTGCTGAGGCTGGGTTTGAACCAGCGACCTTGTGATTACAGGTACACAGGCTTAGCCCACTCAGCCACACGCTGCCAACGCATATGCCAACGCATGTAAGGTAAACCCATGGATTTCAAAGTGGATTTTCTTAAAAATGGTACAGTGAAAGTTGACCAAATTTGGTCGAGATATACCTAGGCCCTTGCCTTTCAGGGGCTACCAGACATGTTTGTACCTTAGGGGATAATCCTGAGAAATGAGCTGTCCAACCTGGCTCATAACATAAAATTATATGGATTTCAAAGTGCATTCTTTTAAGTGGTATATTAAATCTAACCAAATTTGTTTAGGAAATAGCCTTGAACGGTCCCTTTCAGATGCCATATGACTTCTTCATACACTATGGGCAAGTAAGACATTAAATGCATTTAAGTCGTAAACCGTAATGTACGGCTGATACCGTAATGTCATGTCTATGCGTGCACCTCACATTTTAAGCGCGGATTATTTGACCGTGTTTCGGCGAAGCGCGGACAACTTGGCCGCAGTATAATACTACATATATAGGCTACCAGAGTCAATAAAAGAACAGCAATATAAATACGAGACGTGACAAAAACATCACGGCGGCTCAAACAAAACAAGGTCATTACACATCATGCAGACCTTCAACAGACTGCTACTGAAATGGCTCTGGGCCATGGTAACAGACCAGCTGCCCCCCTACAATTTGCCTACCAGGCACACGTAAGTTTGGACGATGTTCTATTACTATGAACGTTTATCAAGGTAAAAGCATTCCCTAAAGGAGAATTTAAGACTGAAACATAGACTAGTCAGCATTAGCATATGAAATCTAAGTAGTTATAACATTCAAGACTAAGTTATAATGATTATAATAAGTTATTATTATAAGTTATATATCTCTTCTGGCTACTACACTGATTATTTGGCTGACTACTTATTGCCTTTCCGCTGTTTTAACAATACGTGGACCTTAACTTTTTACCTGGTATAATAGTGTCATGGATCCCGTTGGATTCGGTAAAACTCCACGCAGCCTCTTTTAATCTTTGAATTTCCTTATCATCTTCACTGCTAGAACTGCTGCTCACACGGTCCCTGGAAGCTGCCATATTGAAATAAGCACGTGCCTAGCCACGGTGTATTGTGGGTAATGGAGTTTGCGCTGAAAACAAAATGATTATAATAAATCAAAATTCACGTGACAGATTTGTATATGAAATGTATGATCAATTTATGAAATTTATTATTCCTATTAAAATAGCAAAGTAAACTGACAATTGCTAAAATTTTCTGTAGGGGGGATGGGGAAAATGTACGAAGGTTCAACATTAGGATTATCAATGTAGTTGATTTAAATAAAGACAAACAAAAATGACGGAAGAAATCAGCGGGCAAAAATCTGTTACGACTGGGCTGCTTGAAGGCAAAACTGTAGGCCTGTTTCTTTTTCTTCTGTTCATTTGTGCTTATTTCTGACTGAAGCCCAATACATTTGACAAGACGATGTTTGATTAGATTAATCTCTCACAGGTATATTGGTGTCGGTACCTTTGGCCCGCGTTAAGTCTTGAAATGCATATACATGGTACAAGTGTACGGCAGTGAAATGAGATACACGTTATCATAGATAATGGATGTGATTTATCTGTGTATTAAAATGTTGAGTAATTTGCACAGATGTGTCATTGGTGCATATGTGGGGCTCTAGATAGTAGGGATAATAGAGTGTATGTTATGATAAAGACACCTCCAAGTCACAATTGTGAAAATCAAACATTATTTATTTTTCTTGTGTAACATTTGGTAGAAACGTCAACAATCCACAAATACCATCCATAGGCGAAGTGTCAAAAATACAGATTATACTTTTAAAATCTCAGTTTTATATAGTAATTCAGTAATTGTCCATTAGACAACTAACATGGTAATTTTACCAGGTTCCCTGATAACACGAGTGAAACATTCTGCCTCTTCTGAGACTTAAAATGACAATTACTGAGAAAAAAATCTACCTCCTAAATTTCTAATAAAAGCGAGTCCCCTCTGAAGACCAGATGACCACGGTACAAACAAAGTAAAATGGTCCTCAATAACTAAAACAATTCCAGTTTACAGAAAAAAGGTACAAAGCAACATTAGCAGCATAAGCACAGAACATTTGCAATCATTATTCATCATAAGGTGCTAGTTCTGTAATTGACTTTACATCTCATATAAAGCCATCTGCTCAAGATCAGTACCACAGCATTCCAACACCAAGCTGTGATAAATTGTTAGCTATAGTGTTCACAGAAAGTCTTAGGACATTTGCTTAAAAATAAAGCAAATTCAAGTCAAGTTTTAGACTGTGAAGTTCTTGCTATTTTGATATTAATTGCAGTTGTAGTCACTGGCTCCCAAAGAGATACTAAACACAAATGTTTGGTGTTTTATGTTATTGCAAAGGTGTTACTAATTAAAACTGACTGTCAACCTTTAAACTCAGAACAGCTCTTTTAGAACTACAATTTGGGTTTCAATTTATTACTACTTGAAATTAATGTTTAGCTTAAAATGATTGGTTGTTTCTAATGATTTACATTCTTTGCAAACGAATAAAGTAACGATATTTGTTATAAAAAATACATTTGCAAATTTTTACTGAATTAAACAAGCGTCCCAAGACTTTCTGTGAGCACTGTATATGAAAACTCCATGTTTTATTTTTGTATTATTTTCTGATAACCAAACCAATGACTTCCTTGACTTGATCAATTGTGAAGCCTTCAGGTAAAATCTGCTTTTTCAGCCTAGCAGTGATAGTGATATAGCCAGTAGTAAAGCTTATTGTTTTCTGCTGTGGTTTTGGGAAATTTGGTCCTCGCAAAATGCATAAAAGTATTTGATAATATTTTTGAGGTATAAATACACATGTGTGCAAGGCATAACTGCATTTAACAATCTCAAGATTTATTTATTTATTTATTATTATTTTTTTTTGTAAAGAAATTCCAGGTCTATACAAAGGCCAGCCAGGCTTCCCAGCCCAACCTCTGAGGGACACCTCCAAAGTTTTGTGTGCTGGGATCTCCCTCAGTCTGGCTCAGTCTCCCCAATAACAATAACAATAATAATATTGATAATTTCCCCACGGGGATCAATAAAGTATCTTTACGCCTCCCCCAGCTTGCTCTTTGTAGAGTAAGCTGTCTGCAAAGGGCAGCCACCTGTAGCGGTGCCCAGGGAACTGGGGGTTAAGGGTCTTGCTCAAGGAGCCACAGACATACCGAGGCCGGGTTCAAACTGGTGACCTTCTGATTTGTAATCCATTTGTAAATGTTGAGAGTCATGAAAGATTCTTCAGGGATGTGTTTCAACAAACAAAAGTTTTTATTAAATCATTAAGTGCTCTAACTTACTTATTATGACTTAAGAACACAGGAACCCATTTTAAATTACCTAACCCAAAATAATTAACAATTTAAAAGAAATCCAAATGGTAATTATGTCAGATTTGTATTTGGTTTCATTGTCATAAACAAACAAAAACAACTTAATGGATCATATTAACTTAAAGCACAGACACCTGGATCATCTGAATCCAGCTTTCACCCGCGTGGTGCGAGACGGCAGGCCTGCAGATTCCCAGCATGCTTAGCTGCAGGATTCATGCTCCACCCTTTCAGGGCTAAGCTTTCCACAGCAGTGACACTAGTGTTTTCTAACCAACTCAAGAAAGGTGCTCTGCTGTGCTTTGTGCAGATTGCCCCCTATTGGGCCTGCCAGTGTAGCCTCTCTGCATAAGCACGTAAGTGAGAGCACACACTGAACTGGAGCAGGAGTGCATGCTGGGTATCAGTCATGAAATTCTGTGGCCCTAGTACTCTGTCACTCAACAGGTAACTCATTAGACATTTCATAACTGCTCCATGGTCACATTCCAATGTCCATAAATGAGGACTAAAAGATCTCACGCCTAATTAAAATTCAGTTGGGCAAGTGTCTTCCTGCAGCTTGCATTTTACATCAAATGTCTGTGTGTAAATGTATGTTTGATGGATATGGATGTCCTCAGGACTGATGCCAACAGCTGGACAAAAGGATCCTCGTGCAGGTTGTACTCGGAGAGTACAACCTGCACAGTGCAATAATCGTGGCAAGTGTGTGTCTGTGATTTTAACTGCGGTGACAACTTTTATGTTATTCGGAATGGGAATTCGTTGTGCAGTGAGAGGCCATGTGAATTATACACAGCATCAAGTCAGAAAGATGTTAAGTCCCCACAATGATGGATGTTTGTGATAGTTATGAATACCATAACCGTCCAGTCCAAGACAAGAAACAAACACACCTATACACCAATCAGGACAGCATCTGAAGCTGGAGCTACCATTTCGATCCTCTTTAAGCACCAGTTTCCCCCATTGAAAAAGATAACTTAAAAAGTTCTCAATTGGCATGCACCCCCCTACAAAAGCACCCAGAGGAATAAGTTATTTACCAGCAGTCTGTGTTCTTAACCTCATAAGCAGGCAGGAAAGACATGAACATTGTGCTCTTATTAGGCGAAAAAAAGGTGTGACCTACCCAGTGATCTCGATACTGCCGCCACAGTAGAATGTAAAGATGCGGGATCGCCAAATTACAGACATCTCAATTCAATTAGGATGATACTCTGTGACAGCACTAAGAGACACGTGGGGCAGCAGCAGGGGATCCTCGAGGTACACAGACCATGGTGTCGCTCCTGAAGAACATTGTGCTGCCTGTACTCCCCACAGTAGGGAGCTGCTTTTGCACTATGCTACTGCAATAAAAAAGGGTGGCAGCTTTCAGTCAGTTCATTCCCATGTAAACTGTGAACCTGGAGCTCGAAGCATGTGCCAACCCTCAGAGCTTCGGACAAAAAAATAAATGCCAAATGCCCCCCCCCCCCCCCCACCCCCGCTCCGGAACCTGTGAGCCCAGTCCTCAACCGCAGCCTGGTGCTGAGGCCCAGTTCTCGCTTTGGAGAGGGCTTCCCTCAGGTATAATAACTGAGTGACTACTCAGGTTGGTTTGCAGCAGGACCCTGCCCATTGGCTTAAAACCATCTAACCAGAGGAGCAACAAAATGAACTGTAAATGGAGTTACAATGAAAGAAGCTCAATGCCCCTTTGAGGCAGCTGGTGGGCTACCCAGTGAAATTAAGCCATGTGGAAAGAAAAACAACAATAAGGGACATTTCTGAAGTTCCCCATGACAGCTATAGAAAGGTAACAACCCTAGGATACAAGGAACATGCATTTAAAGAGAGAGAAGCCATGACCAACCGGCATGGGAAGGCTGAAGCCTTACTGGGGGTTATAAGGCTTATTGGGAGGGGGCCTCAAGGCTGATGGAATGCAGTGGCATGCGCCGAGGGGCTGCGCTGCCAGCTACTGCCCACCGTTATAAGCGTAGTCTGCCTTGTTGTGCATGATGAGCTTGTTGTCCACGAAATAGAAGCTGTCTGACCTGGTCTCGTAAGGGTTCTCCACCATCTGACGAACTGCAGATAGGCAGAGAGGATCATGCTGTAGTCTTATCAGCAAATGACATACGACGGTTGTGTATACCTGTTTGAGTCCTGCAAGCAGTGCCACATCCCTGCTGCTACGGGCCTGCATGAAATCAGTATCTATAACATCCCTTCCAACAAACATCATTATGACGTTAAAAGATTGTACCTCTTGCTGACCTCATTATTTAACTAGCTGAGCAGAAATTCCTCAGTTTAAGAATAACAATTAGCTCCTGATTAAAGGTATGATAACAACCCACTGCACTAATAATCTCTACATACAGGCTCGACGAGAGAAACAAGCCCAGTGCTGGTTTCACTGCCTGACAAGTAGCTGCCTTCGGGTGGGTCTGCAGAGCAGATCTGCAAATAACACTGCTTACTGCATTAAGTCTGAGTGCTGCTGTCTGTATAATATCCTGAGGGAACCCAGCATGTAGCAGTGCTGTTAAAAATGCTTCACCTTAGACCAGCATTCATACTCAGCAGAAGGCCCGCTACACATAAAAACTTTTACTTCATAAAAACTGTCCTCTATTCAGACAGCCGCTTTCTTTCCAGGAGTAATTCACAGCTAGTAATTTTCCGGTAGGTTGGGTTAATCAACACTTCTGCTGAGCAATTAGATGATGTAATGCAACAGTCTGCTTTTCACAAAATACGGGAAATACTGAGCTGAATGCCAGATTAGCACCTTTCTCCTCCTACGTGTTTAATCCATCCAGACTTAAGGCTTCTTTTATATAAAAAAAAAAAAAGGCATATCTCACACCCATCAACCCAGAACGTTGATAATTTAGTGCTGTTTTTCCTGCAGACAAAAACAAAACAAGACATTTTGCACACAAAATATAATATAGAAGTGATGGCACCTGTCTTCCACAGCATCTGGCTCTAGCAGAAATAACAGAATAAAGTGTTTATCTGAGCTGTTTCCATCCATCCAGGTTGTAAACATTTATTCTGGTCAGGGTAATGGGGGGGGGGGGTGGCTGGAGCCTATTCTCGGCAGCACAGGGCTCGAGGTTGGGGTACAGCTCACATGATGTGCCAGTTTAAAGCAGTTTCCTACCACAAAAAGAACTTCTCCTGACAGTCAAGCACGCGCACAAACACTTGATTTATAACATCTACTTCGGATGCTAAAGAAAATTTATTTAGACACTGAATCAAACTTTTTATCATTTGTGTCACACTCAAACATGCACACAGACCCTCTGCTCTTGACAATCACCAATGATATTTTTAAAACCCAAAATTCAAAATATGCTAAAATGATGGGCTCTGAGACCTTGTCCAATGACCTCTGAATTATAGTGTCATCGCCATGGAAGACCTATCAGCACGATTAATGAGCACAGCGGCAGCTGTGAGATCCACCTGGGAACTATTACCCTAAACGTAGGGCAGACAGAGGAACGTGCGGGAAAAACCACTCACTCAGTTCGTCTGGGAGCTGTGGGAACTCATAGATGTGCTCGCAGCTGTTCCGGCTGTTGGGGATACAGAAGCCAAAGTCGAAATCGAAGCTCTTGAGAAGCTGGTCTCTGAAGTAGTGCCTCTCGATCATGCGGAAGCTGCTGATGGGCCGATCGCCCACAGTGAACTCAACCCTACAACAGACAGATCGAGAGGCTGAAGAGAACTACCTAACAAGCGCTGCAGAGGAACTAGCGATGATACTACTGCTCATCAAGATATAGTAAGAGTAATACGAGGAATATCAACAACACCCTGGCAGCCAATAGAGTAAATGATGAAATAATTGAATCTTAGAGTACAGGTGCCCAGCTTTGGCATCCTTGGTACTTTACTTAGGCAAGATGGGTTGCACAAGCCTCCCAGAACACAGACTTGCGCCAGGAAGGTGCCAGGGCAGGGTTTAGAAAATGACCTGCAGTAAGACTCTCTTTTCCAAATAAGTTTTATATGGTTGCTTAGAACAAAACTGCTAGGCATGCACTGCAGCGATGAAGATGAGGATGATGAAGACAGCAACGGTTTGTTGTGTTCTGAACTCACGTGGCACCCACAGTGCCCAGTCTCAGGAAGGCAGGAGTGAACTGGTATCGGACGAAGCGTCCCGTGTTGGAATCGGACCCCCCGTTCACATCCTCCTCCTCCAGTGGATCTGTGGAGCATCAGGGGAACACATCAAGATGGATCTCCTCCAGGTACAGCTACCAACGCAAAGTGCAGCGGGCACAGTCGGACACACCGTTATTGGGTGGTTTGGCGATCTCAAACAGCACCGTCCCGGTCTCCATGTCTCTTATCTTGAAACGTGTGAAATCGACATTAAAGACATTGTCCTCAGGTTTACAGAGGTAATCTGCAAGAGGACACAGGTTACAGATTCACTGCATATAATCTTAATAATTTCAATACATAATTTAGGTAACTTGTGTGTGAAGCGTGTCTGCCAAGCCTGATCCCGCATCGCGCAGGCAAACTCCCTTCGCCTTTGTCCGCTGAGGCGTGTGCCCTAGCAAACGTATCTGCGCGTCTTTCCTCCATTATGCTGCCCGGAACGCCAGCAGCTCACTGACAAAGGAAAGAGCCACGTGCCCTCTGCGAGTTTCGCACACTTCGCCTCAGGTTTTTGCCAGCCCGAGTTCGGCTGTCCGGAGCCCCCGGTCCGACAACCCCACCGGCCGACCGGCGTCCGGGGACCCGGCTCCCAACTTAATTTCCAGGAGCTCGGGATCGGCAAACAAACTTTAAAACGAGTGGTTTCTCTTTCCTCATGCGCCTACCGCGGGTGACGGAGCGCAGACCCAGAACTTCGTCCGGAGTGATGTCTCGCCCCAGTCCCCTCAACTCATCCTCCGTAACGGGCCGCCTCTCCGGCTGACTTCGCCGCGGCTTCAGCCTCTTCATGACGCCTCCCCCGGATCTGCGCTCTCTGCCGCCAGCAGCGGACCCCGGCTCAGCGTCGAGCATATTGGCGCTGGTAGACGTTTCCGTGCGAGGTTTGCGTTCGCTCATGGCTTTGCCGTCCGCTCAGATTCATGGACGCGATGCCGCTCGCTTCAAGATGGCGTCATGTCTCTATGGTGAAACTACGCCGGAGAGAAGCGCTCGCGATTGGCGGCACGCGCTCCGCGGTTGCCATGGTCACGGGCACGCGCGTGCTGTTTATTTTCCCTCCTCCCGCCAAATGATTACCTTGTTTTATGTCATGATGCCACTGGGATCGGTAATGCGACAACCCATGGAGACAGAGTCCCACACTTAGCGAAATATCATCAATGAAACCAGGTTAAGGAGCACACGGCAGGCGAGCAGTGTGTACAATAAAACATCAGCACAATACAAAACGTTAGATAAAATAGCACATTTATTTAAAAAGAAACAGTGAAGTCACACCAGGCAGCAATTCCCAACTTGTACGCAGTTTGACAAGAGCAGAGGGTGTGTGTGTGCGCATGTTTCAGTGTGACTCAGTGTTTGAGTTCATGGGGAAGACATTCACACAGGTCTCATTCAATCCTCCAAATGGTGGCGTGGTGGGCAGATAATGCAAAAGAACACAAAACATGTACCGTTATGTTCTTGCGCAGGTAAAGGGAATTAAAAACGTTAACAGTTGATTTGGAACTGAGGAATGTATATGAGTATGAAAACCGCACCTTCCTTAAAAACAATTATATGAACTGAAAGCAAAATCAACCATCTGGACAAACCATGTAAGCACAATAAATGAGACATCAAAGGACGGTAAAGCATGTTGGCATGTATTCAAAATCAAGGCAATACGAAATCAAAACAAATTATACATACACAAAGAATGCTCTTTAAAATTAACACCAGACAGTGCAAAAATTCACACCCCAAAAATAAAAATCTTTGCAAAAAGTAAAACCAAAGTATGTCCTGAGGGAGCTACCTTGCCGTTCAATTACCGATGCTAGGCAACCTGCACTTCAAGTTATACAATACAAAAGGCAAAAGCTACTCAGACAAGCCCCATCACACTGCCCTAAGACAGCACAGTTGTATTACACTTTCCATTTCACTTCACTCCCTTCACCTCCGACAGAAATAAACTTGCCATAAAACAAAATCTAAATAAGAAAACAGTTTTGGCACACTAAAACAAGTGTGACTCTGTACCATACGTGTATGTACACGTAGACAGACAGACAGACAGACAGAGACAGACAATAAATTTTATTTGCCAAAACAGAAAAGCTTCCAACTTTGGTGCAGGTTTTAATTTTGTCAATTTTAAATAAAGATTAAAAAGGTGCTTCTGATTGATTTCTGATTGTTTGTAATTCATATCTACTCTGCCCTGAAAAGATAGGTCCAAATGTCTCTCCCTCCACCAAGTTTACACACCTCAGGAGCATAAATAACTAACATTGTATAAATAACTAGTCAAAAGTTACCAAGATCTGATGGATCAATGGTGATGACTTTCTTAAGCAAGACCGATGACAAGCCCTGAAGCAGAGCAGAGATGAATTGTGCCCTTTGAGGGCTACGTTTCCACCATACCCCAGTACCGACACGGAGGTGACCTGAGCAGGCCATCACTCAGGTGTATCACTCAGACAACGACACGCACTCATTTCCCATGGGACAAACTCACAGCTCAGGGTCACTGACCTAAACGCAAGGCTGCTGGTTTAAATCAATCTACACTGAACCAATTAAGGCAAATCAAAGACAATGTAAGGACAATGGCACAAGGAGACCCAAGGAAGAGCAGTGCCGATATGGGAACAAAGCTAAATGCAACAAAAACTAACAGAAACGGTGGCAGTAGAGATGGGAGTATTAGTGAGCGACAAGTGACAACCTGAGAGAGGAAGAAAATATTCAACTGACAATTCCTTAGCCAGCAACTTAAGCAACAGCTGCAGCCCCCTCTGAAAGCTACTGCAAGAAAAGCCTTAACTGAATGTTTACCACACTACATTTCATGCCAAGTTAAGTGTAGAGGTATTGATGGTTCTACTGTAGAAGTACAGCTAATTGACTGGACAGTTCAGCTTGTGAAATATATTGCCCAGTATAACTTCATTGAGAATGTGGTGTACTGCAGCCCAAATGACGACTAATCACTGCAGCATCACCTCACCATCTGACTGTGGGGCATCCTGCATCCTAAACACAAGACAGACATGTGCCGTCTGCAGGCTGATTGGCTGATCGGTGGGGGGGGGGAGGGTGCATCAAGGAAGCATGACATCAGGGATTACAGGTCATGGCTACTGCATTACCCCATAATACAGGGCATTCTGAGTCAACTGAAATCCACAGATCATGAAGGGAGAAGCTAGCAGGCCCAGGGAGGTGACCAAGGGAGGTGACCAGGAGCACGACGGAACACGGCTGAACGAGTCACCACACCTCTCCTTTACAATAAGCACAGCGGGTTCTGTACCTCTGTATTCCACCAATCAAACACTTCCTCCCTAAGCAGCAGCCAGGCTAATGAATACAAAGCAAACCCAGGAAGGCAGGGCCCTTACACCCAGCTGCCGGACAATCTCATGCAGTTGATTCAATATTTATTAAGTTCAGGGTGTCAGCAGCCTCTCGCTCCAGGATAATGAGATCACCAATACTACAAGTTAGCTGGCTACAAACAAACAGCGCAATGGGTCATGTGGCCACACTTAATGTAAACATGTCCAGGAAGGAACGTGTCAATCTCAGGCCAGGTTCTCATACAGAATTCCTGTTCATATAAAATAAGGAGCACAACAGCCTTTTCCCTCCTCTCCAAAGTACAGCATGGGGGGGGGGGGGGGGGGGGGGGGGGGGTCAGGGGACAGGCTGCTGTTTTGGCAGCACTCACCATAGTCGACCCCAAACAGGGCCGATAATCCAAGAGAAAACACACAGCAGCTGTGGAGCGGTTTCCCATCTCCTGCAAACTGCACTCTGATCCCCCTCCTGCTGTCTATATGGATGCTGCAGACACAGCTTCAGATTAATAAAGCAGGTATTTCACTCCCAAAAACACACCTGCTTTCACAAAGTTGTGTCCAGGAAATGTCAATGCTTAAACAGGAACAGTCAGGCTTGAATAAAACATCTAAAAGTGACATCAATTCCAGTCCCCAGCCCCTGGCTTCATTCTCCTTCGCCTATATGTCCACCTACAGTAATTGCCGTTTCCCCAGCATATCGCTCAGCAAACTAAAGCTGGTGAGAAATAAAACCTTTTTTTTTTTGCTCCAAGCTTCTGAGGGACCACTAAGAGGCCACTGGGCTTGTGATGAGTTGTACTGAAATACCTGCATGTGCGCGCACACACACACACACACACACACACACACACACACACACACACACACACACACACACACACACACACATGAACACACACTCTCTCTCTCTCTCTTGCTCTCCCCCTTCAATGTGCTCTGTGGTCACTGGTTCACTGACGACACCACCACCCCCCCTCCGGTGTGGTTCTTTGGGAATCCCCTTCTGCTGCTCCCCCTGCTGCCTCCACAGATCTCCACCCCCCACCCCAACCCCACCCCCCATCCCTGCTGGCGTCTCCTGGGTCTGTACACCTGTCGTTTTGTCTTAGTCTGTCCCCGTCTTCTGCCGTGTCCCCAGTGCTCCCCCAGGGCCCCTCACGGGCCCCATCAGAGCCGGCAGAGGCAGAAGAGGGTGGGGATGAAGACTCCAAACGCCACCAAGATGGGGAACATGAGGCTGCTGTTGTCGGCCGCGTATGGATTGGGCGTCCGGGGCCCCGAGCGGACCCGGTCCTTGGGCACCGCAGAGGGGCCCCGCTTACCCACTTCCTCCTCAGTCTCTCTCTCGTCCTCCTCTTCCTCTTCCTCTTCCTCACGCTTCTCCAGTCCAGGGTGAGGCTGGAGCTTAGGTACATCTGAGAGGCATGGGAGAGGAGCAAGAGGAGAGAGGGAGGGAGGGAGGGACAAAGGGAGAAAAGGTGGTGAAGAAAGAGGGAAGGGAGAGAAAAAGTAAGAGTGAAACAGAAAAAAGAAGGTAGAGATAAGACAGCAGTTAATGACAGGAGGTATGAATGTAAGAAGAGAAAGGAGGAAAGAAAGGATAGGGGGAGATTAAAAAGGGGAAAGGGAGGGGCAAGTCAGAGATGGGATTACAGATTAAATAAGAAAAAATTACAGGGCAGAGGAGGGCAGGTGAGAGTGATTTCAGAAAAATAAGGGATAAAAAGAGGAGGGCAATGGGGCGGGGGGGGGGGGTATGGAGGGTTATTACAGGATTCTGACTACAGCTTAACAGTCACACTAAGAATGAGAGATACAGCAGGGGAGGGGCCTGGTTCAGGGGCCAGCAGAATCGGGGGTCAGAGGAGAAAGATAAATAATTTCAGTGGAGATCCTAGAAAGACACAGACAGCAGCACCTCCTCCGGAGAGGCCCCCAGAGGGAGCAGCGCCACCAGTGGCTCTGCCTCCTCACTTACCTTCTAGCGTCCCCTTCATCACGTAGAGCGCGCAGATCTTGGGGTTGTCATAGTAACCCTGCAAACACACAGGCAACGTCTTCATACTCATAGCAACGCAGTGTCACTCAGCCGCTTAGCCAAAGTGCACCAGGCACCTTAAAAAAAAGGCCCCAGCAATGAATGTGGGTGCAACAACCCCAGCTGTGAGGACACACGCCCGTCCCATGAGCGAGGACACGCGCCCGCCCCGAGAGGAAGGACAATGCCACCACCCCCCCCTCCTGTGTGATTCTTTGGGAATCCCCTTCTGTTGTTGCCCCAGCTGCCTCCACAGATTTCCACCCACCAACCCAACCCCTAACCCCCATCCCTGCTGGCATCTCCTGGGTCTGTACACCTGTCGTTTTGTCTCAGTCTGTCCCAGTCTTCTGCCCCCAGTGCTGCCCCAAAGCCCCTAACATGCCCCATCAGAGCCGGCAGAGGCAGAAGAGGGTGGGGATGAAGACTCGAAACACCAACAAGTTGGGGAGAGGGAGGACACGCGCATGCCCCGTGAACCATCTGCAGAGCGCAGCACGTGTAGGGAGCTGTCCAGGAAACCAAAAGGCAGACAGAAGCACAGAGACACGCTTCACTGCTGACATCATCAGGCAGTAAGACGCCACGAGGGAGCCCCGGCACCCCCCACCTTGACGAACTCCACGGTCAGCTTGCCGTTGAAGGTTGACACCTCGTCCCGTACGCTCAGCTTGCCCCGCCGGATGGAGAAAGGCACAAACTCGTCGTGGGCCGTGCTGTGGCCCACGCGATCGAAGATGTCCAGATCTTTCACCACCATGTGCCCGTTGAGTCTTATGTCGAAAACCTGCGAGGGGGGGGGAGGGAGGCAGGAGAGGTGTCATGGGAGGCCCACAGCTTGCCAGAGATCGGCCTGTTAGCGCCACAGGACAATGAACTGCACGGGTTCGAGTGTCACTATCATAACTACTACTGGCCAGCCGAGGGACTTGGTACAGCAAGAGGCTCCCTTAAGCTTTTCTGCTCATTCTGTGAATACGAAATACCCCAGGCTAGGCAGCCCTGATCCTGGAGTGCCGCAATCCAGCAGGTTTTCCATCCTACCTGATGAGTTATCTGCCTGAGGTCAGGTGTGCTTTATCAGAGATGGGGTAGGATGGAAAATGTGCTGGATACCAGCATTATGAGATCAGGGTTGCCTATTTGTGAAATACAGAGCCACTCAGTAAATTCCTATGTGTGCATTTTGTCTTCAAAAACAGTCCCAAAATGCAGGGTATATTTTTACTTTTATAAAATATTTTAAATGTTTAAATAAATTATTATTAATGATGATAACTTTATCGATCCCTTTTTGCCTACCTGTCACACAGACATGCGAGTGCCTAGGGAGCTGGGGGGGTTAAGGGTCTTGTTCAAGGGCCCACAGACATGTGACTATTCTGCAGAGGCTGGGCTCAAACCAGTGACCTTACGATCACAGACACAGCGGCTCAGCCTACCACGCCACACGCTGCCCCCTTTTATTTAATAACGACAGCCCCCATTTAAAGTCTTGGGTAATTTGGCTACAAGCAATTCTACTCCCAGCGGCCTTAAGCCAGCTACATTTCAATAACTGATGAACTGCATCACAGGCCTACCTACATTTTTGCTGCTTAATAATACTTAATTTAATCAAAAAGTATGTGTAATATGCCAAAACCAGAGATTCGACTCTCCCAGTTCCTCAAATTCTCAATCCTGTAAGTCAGATTTCAGTACCTCCAGTGATCTGCTGATAACACCCAGGGGCTGGAGCTGGGGGTGGGACGTACCTTCTGCTGGGACTGGGCAAAGTACACCTCGGCGAACTTCAGCACCAGGATGTAGTCGCCCTCGTCGCGAATGGGCACCTCGTAGCCGAATGTGTCCTCGCTGTACCGCTCTGTCTGGTAGAGGACCTGGTCCTCGGGGGTGGAGCGCAGGATGGGCAGCCGCATGCCGTAGTCAGAGGCTGCGGAGGGGCAGAGCTGAGTGAGACCGGGCTGCATCGGCACATGTGGCACACTCACCTGTCTGTACTTAAAAACTCCTTTAAAATACAATGAGCACATTGTTGGCGTCACAAGGAAAACAAAGCAGCCCTCGCTCATTCAGTCATGTAAGACAAGACATCCAGCTGTCCTTGGCCAGGACACGCCCCCACCTTCCGGTCGCGACACTGAGAAGTCTGAATGGGTACAATGCACGGTTCAGCGCGTCAGGGTGCTGACCCTTTGATCACAAGGTTGCTGGTTCGAATGCCTGAGCTGGCAGTGACTCCACTGTTGAGCCCCTTCAAGACTGGTTGGCCTCTCAGAAACGTATGTCGCTTTGGATAAAAACGTCTGCTACAGAAACAGCTTTGGGGAAGCTGCTGCGGTGGCGTATTCAGGCCATTCTCCCTTTAAAAAGTCTAAGGCCTGCGGAGCATCACGTGCTAACCGATCGCAGGAGATGAATATTCCCTGGGGGCTGACTGAAGCCCCCCCCCCAAACGTGATGAAACACTGTCTGCATTTGTCTAACCGGCCCCGATAACTAGAAACACTGGTCATGCAGGGTGTAATTAGACAGCTATGTACACTGTTTCTCGATAATCTGCCCCTTCAAGCAAACCGATACATTTACACATTAAAAACGCATAAGCCAAAAGCAGCAGGTTAATGAATGAGAAAGTGAACTTCCGATGGGCTGAAGCGGGGCACCTGGCATGTGGCTTCAAAGTCACCATGGTTAATGGGAGAAAATGTCAATGTAAGAGCAGAACAGGTCCTTTTAGCCGTCTCGCCCCCTTACCTTTGCCAACCTTCCCCTCCAGCGGGTCCTTCCTGAAATGTACGCCATGCACATCCGTGTGCGTCTCGCCGCCGGCGTTCACTGCCCAGATGACCCGCTCGGTCATGCTCGGGCCCCCGCCGTCCGCCTGGCTCAGTTGGGCCAGCAGCGACAGCAAGGCCAACAGCAGCCCGAGAGCCCAGAGCAACGTGACGCGCCGCATATCCCTCAGTAGCTGGGTCACTCTCAAGCATACACCCTTCGGCTGGGGAGTCGACGGGGGCAGCAAGCGGAGAGCCCAAGCTAGATGCTCGGTTAATAGACCTGCAGCTTACGAGATCTGCAGAAAGACACGGAGCGGCGCTGTTCACTTTCGCTGCCGGGCTCTTTATGAGGTGGCAGCAGCCGGCCGGCCGGCGTTACTCGGAACACACGGCGCTGCTCCAGCCGAAGTGCGCGACTACCTGTCTAAGCGACTTCCTCCTACCCTGTCAGTGTGACCAGCAGCTGCCACCCGCTCGCCGTCTAAACTGCACTGATTCTCTAATACTTCAAATGTCCAGATTCACGTGCTTTCCTGTCGGCTTCCGCGTGCTTATTCCTGAGATGCTACACAGACCGTGTAGTTTCCTTTATATCACTGTCTCTAGTTTTAATATTGCTGCTAATTCCCATTAAGGGCCGTGTAATAGCTTGTGGAGTCGGATCAGGTTCAGAAAGGGAGAGTTGAGCAGTCTAACATGCTGTTTGAGGAGGAAGTAGAGCGACAGCTCAGCTGGCCATTCACATGGCAGCCCGGGCCTTGACGCCCTCCGTAACGTACTTTTTTTTTCTCGTGACACATCGGAAACCATTCAGGTTTCTAGCGAATCACAGAGCGGCATTAACGAGCCCTGCGACCACAGACTCTGACGTCATCACATGGCCGAAACGCCGCCGACAGCGGACACGGTAGAATCGACTTATAGTTTGGTTGAGAAACAGCGTTCAGTTGGCAGAATGCGGAAAGCAACTGCAAAACTACACACCAAAGGTTCTTTTTAAAAATGGGTAATATATCAAACTTTTAGATATAAAATGACCACACAGTAGTCTATAGGTAACTTATATTTGTTAAAATTATAATAAAAAAATTAATTTATTTTCCCAGGATTATCAACTCTTTTGAAAGAGAAATCATTGTATTTTTTTTAGCAATCTTCCCCTTTTTGAGAAATGGTTCTAACCGATTCTGTGCCTTTCCGACTGCCTACAGAATTTAATTGATTTCTGTGGGTAGAAGTTGGACAACTGACAGCAGACCGAGTTGTGTATAGTCCTTAATGCTTTCTATGCATGTACATCCGTAGATTAAAATTACAGATATTGAAACGATTTGGTTTTAAAAATGCAAAATCAATCAAGCGTTGTATCTATTTTCTAATAAAGATTTAACCCCCCCCCCCTTAACAGTGGCAATATGGTAGATCTAAAAACTATCCAATCAGATTGGTCCAGCGCAGCGCGCGTGCGGTGCATTCTGGGTTTTAAACAAATTAACCGAGTGTCGAATGAATGACTCGGCGGTTTGTTGTCATAGTTACTGTTAAAGCTCTCTGTCCGAAAGTGCGTTCCCATTGCCGACCATATGTCTTTGAACGTAACACCGGGGAAGTAAAATTCCTGGGAAAATAAATGAATGAATCAGTCTGTTAATCACAGTCACTTACTGTTCCCCGAGATATCAGCAAAATAGTTTTACTGTCAACCGTAACATTGTTCAGTAGAAGTATCCTGTGAACATGGTTTGTAAGTGTGTCGCAATGCACAATACAGTTTGATTTTACCTATTATTATTATTGTTATTATTATTATTTATTCTCATCATCATCATCAGTGAACATAAAGGTTTTATTTTGTGTCGCATAGTGCTCTCTTAGCTCACGCCAATTCAGAGTAACACGTTTAATTTCTAAATTTAATTAGTGGAAACTGCTTAGTTCTGCATTAGAACAGAAATACACGGGAGACGACAGAGCAATTTTTCATTTCACCACAAGATGGAGCGAGAGGTTCAGCTGCGGCGTTGAGCGGGTATAGAAAGGACTGTAGGCATGGAAACCGAACTGTCCTTTATTAACAACCTTAGAGATGTCGTCGAATAACAGTCAATTTGACTAAAATGGGACATGTGAGGTGCTTATCTACAAAAGAGTATTATTATTTCAAAGGGGCGTTATATATTTTAATATCAAAGAGACTATGTATGAGGCGTGAGATAGCAATAAGCCGTAATTATGTCATTATTTTCACTGTAGTAAAAAAAAGAATTTACAGTCGTGATGTGTTCATTTCTAGCCCTTTTTTCCTGTGTTCACCATTCCAAATTTTATCTTGGTTCTGATATTCTTCATTTATCTGTTTGCGCATGAAAGCTTTTATCCAGTGGCTGATGATCGCATCAGGGAAGTACAAACAAGAACACCAGGCTAAACCGTGTTTACTTCTTAAATGTAACCTTTTTTCAAATTCATATCGAATTTGATAAGAACAGATGTGTTTTCTTGAAAGATTTTTTTTTGGCATGCATTAAAACAGAGATAATGACACGCAGATATAAACACGTCCTGTAGTCGGCATACAGTAGATAAGGACACACGCAGTTGTCCAACAAAAATGCACAGATGAGGGTTTCCACGTGCATGCACGTTTTAACACACAGGTTTTTAAAATCAGGGTAGGTCAAGTCAACATTAGTAAGGTGGTCTGTAATGTTTCAACAGGAAGATTCACAACTGGTCTGAGGAAGACACATGTGGGGTTGTACAGCTTGTCTGTTGTAGGATTGAGACAAAAAATGTACAGATCCATGACAACAACATCAATATGAAATTCTGGACACATATGAGATCAGCCAGACTCCCGCCTCCCTCCATGTGATCTGCTTGGTGACAGCTCTCCATGACCCGCCTCGATATGCGGCAGTTTCTCCCGTTCCTCTCCCTTTTTGTCTATATTGCAGCTCATGTCCCTCAGAAGGACACTGTCACTATTAGCTGTAATTAAACAGGACCGATTGTGATAGACATGAGGCTGGAGAGCTCTCCTGTAAAACAGGAGCACATCTCAAGTACAGGTTGATTATGTTCACAAATCTATTCTAGCAAGTGAAATCTAAAAGATCCAAACCAGCAAACTCCAGTCATCTTATTTTAAATAAGAATGTTGCAGATATCACATGGACCTTGGCAGAGGAAGCAGAATTTCAGTTCTGTCATCCTGATTCAGAGCTGATGGGCTGTTACCTGACACTGCAATTCAATGGTTTTGCATTGACTTTAAAACAAAACTCGTAAAATTTGGTATAATAAGACAGGACATTCAACAGTGGTGTTCCCGGTTCAGTGAGTGCACTTGGGTCACCTTACATAGTGATAACATCAAGCACTATGCATTGTACTCAGTTTAATTGTGTATGTGACATATAAGACTGAATTGTTTTTAATGTGATGTTATATTTGGTTGTCTTTGAGTAATAAATGATTGCAAATAAAATATACAGAATGTCATACAAACATTGTTCTCTTTTCTCTAAAAATTGAGCTACACTTTCCTAACTGGGCCCTTTACAATTTACTTTTGTGTGGGACCAGGTCACATCTTGTACAAAACACACAGGCAGATACACAAATACACAGAAATAAATAGACAGAAATGAGACCGACTACAGAATGGGCTACAATAATCTCATTTTCAAACAGAGTAAGTGCAAAGACACATGGGAAACGGGTTTGGGTGAAAGTGCTGAAAACGTCTGTTTGTCTGTCTGCCCGCCTGGTGTCCCTGCGTCAGGACACTGCTCCAGTTGTTGGTCTTGTGAGGATGGGGTGACGCTGCAGGAATGGCTGGGGGGGGGGGGGGTTGTGGTCCCCCCAGATCATAGTTTGGAGGCTGGAGGGCAGTATGTAAGTTCCAGTTTGTTCAGGTAGGGCAGCGCAGTCGGCAATCGCTGGTCTGGCATTTCTCTGGCACAGCTGGGGGCCACACGCCAGGCTGGCAGGGATTTCTGCCGCTGATTTACGGCCCCCATCAGCGAGACATCATCCGCACAAACTCTGGGGGGAGAGAGGCATTTTACAGACGGGGTGAAGTGGCTGTGAATGACGGCGGCTTAGTGAGCTAACGGGCGCTGCAGTGATTAAGACAACTGACCTGTGGTCAGAGGTTTCCACATACAGATGACTGGCAGAAAGACACTGGAGTCATTTCAAGAAACAGCATAAAGAACTCGCAAGCAAATGACTGCATAAAGTAAAATACAATAAAATAAAATAAAATTTGCATGGAGCTCCTTGACAACTATGGCTGCTTTTCCGCAAACAACATGGAAACATAGCAGAGTGCTTCTGCGGGTCAGGGGTCCGTGCCTCTGCAGAAGGTCGTGTGTTTGAATCCTGAGTTATATGCATGGTGGGCCCCTGAGCACAGCTTCTACACCCAAAAACTGCTCTGGAGGGCTGGATGCATAACAGAGCTTGGGCACTGATGGCACGTTTCCTGTGTGTCTCACAGGATGGGCTATGTGAGACCCTTAGAATCCCTATGAGCTCGTAGAAATGGTGAACAAACATACTGGCTATTGATAATAAAAAACAAACAGGCTGGTTCACTGAGCCAAGGAAACAGGCCCTTCATAGATGGATTATCTGATAAACAGATATAAACCCTTTTTTTCTGGTGGCTGAAGTGCCAATCCTACCCCCAACCCCTAAATTTGCCCTGTAGTTGTAGATTAATGCGACACCCAAGACAAAGAAATTGCAGGTTAAGGGCCTTGTTCAAGTGCCCAACGGAGTAGGATCACTCCTGGCACTCACAGGATTTGAACCAACAACCTTCCAATTGCTGGCACAGATCCTTAGCCTCAGAGCCCCCACTCCGCCCACAAAGGTTAGTTGCTGCTGGCACCTTCCTGTCTCACTCTAGAGCAGGGGCTCCCAACCCTGGTCAGCATTCCACAGGGCCGCAGAACACAGCGGGGTTGGGTTCCAAAAATAACCTATATATTTTCTATTTTTTATGACTCATCACGTTTGCACATCCTGTTCACTTCTGAAAAAACGCAAACGGATAAAGTTACACAAACCACAGATCGGTCTGTCGTTATTCTGTCCGTATTTTGTATGGCGTGATGCAGTCCGCAGACATCAAACGGTTGTGGACCCATACTCTATCCCATTTTTCTCAGATGCGAACAGAATGTGCACATGTGAAGGATCATAAAAAATTCAAATACTGAAAACTGAATTTGGAACACCGGCCAGGGAGCAGTGCTCGCCGGGGACCAGGGGTGGTGAGTTGCACTAGAGCGCCCCCTCCTTCTGGCCTGTAGTACAGTGCCACTCTCCCAGAATGCTCTTTGTCACAACTTGCGAAGATGAACAGCACAACTGCAAACACGTGCTGCAGATTAGAACAGCCACTGAGACTGAGCCTCACCTTCAAAGTCTACGTGGCCGTCCCCGTTCAGGTCAATGTCCCGCAAGATGTCCTCAAGATCTCTGTGACCAACCTGCCAAGGGGGGGACAGATTTCAGTGCTGGGTGATGGGCAGGAAGGCTGGAGGACCAGAGCTCGCTGCTCTCATCTCACCTGCTGTCCCAGCAGCTTCCTCATGGCCTCCCTGAGCTCGGCAGTACTGATCTCACCGTCACCGTTTGTGTCAAACTAGAAGAGGATGAGACAGGAGAGGATGAAGGACAACTGGGCAGACAGAGATAGCAGTTAGGATGTTATGCCTGTGATTTGAAGGTTATGGGTTCAAACCTCAGGGTGAAGAGAATGATTTCAGAGTTATCCCCTGAACAAGGCCCAGGGACTCTCTGACCGTGCTCTCCCAAGTGTACGAAAATGAGTGGAAAACCTTAATAACACTGATAACTACCCACAATCCTAAGTGCTGTTCTTAGTTTTCTTACTGGTTACATTTAACATAGTGTTTCTGGCACAAATGATAAATACAAAACTGTGCATGATTTAGTTGATTTAGTGTAAGGAGCAAAGTCAAGTGGACACAAAACCCACAGCAGGACCAGCCCAGAGAGCCAGAGCGCCTTCACTGTTCACCTCTCTGAATGCATCCCTCAGCTCCTTCACACCAATCATATCCGCCGTTTCTGCCAAGAGTTTAGGTCCCATCAGTTCCACAAAGTCCTCGAAATCCACATGGCCACCCACTGCAAAAGTGCATGGTGGGAAACAGAAAGAGGTCTGGGTGGGTGGGGAGACACAGCAGATAAATATACAGCTGCTACACTTCAGCACACAGTGCCCTGAGCCCTGGACATTACGCCATGACATATCAGGGAGGAGCAGGGGAGGTCAGGCCGGGCTGCTGCCCCGCGGCCTGGACGTCACGCCATGACATATCAGAGGTGAGCTGGCCGGTCAGGCCGGGCTGCTGCCCCGTGGTCTGGACGTCACGCCTTGGCGTATCATGGGAGTTGTGACGTCACGCCTTGATGTATCTGGGGGAGCCGGGTGGTCAGGCCTGGCTGCAGCCTGGACGTCAGGCACTCACGGTTCATGTTGATCTGCTGGCTCAGCTCAATCAGCTCCATCTCGGTGGGCATGTAGCCCATGGTCCTCATGCAGTTGCCCAGGTCTTTGCAGCCGATGAAGCCATCTTTGTCCTTGTCAAACTCCTTAAAAGCTTCTCGGAGCTCTGCACAGGAGGAAGGCAGAGTCTCCCTGTTACTGGGGTCCACTGCTGGCAAGACCAGCTCAACTACATGGCTGTGGGACATTTTTAGGAACAAGCCTTTTTACGACTACTATATTCATCCATCCATCCATCCATTTGAAATATCCTTCAACATGCATGAAGACAGAGAGCATCTCACCGACATGACTTACCATCGATCTCCTCTGGTCTGAGTTCCCTGTCCTGTAAAAGAACAAAAGACGTATGGACTGTCACCTGTGAAGTTTCAGTCAGTGTCTGTTACACGTGGAGCTATGGCGCCCCCTGCAGTCAGCTTACAGATTATTACACTCATCTGCTTCGTGCTGCTTTCCAGTATAAATTCTGTCCCATTGTGTCGCATGAATCCAAGAAAATCGACAGAGACAGTGGCGGAGAGCAGCAGTATATGGTGGCTTTAATCGGACTCTACTTAAATTTAGCAAAAGCATAATCCAGAGAAAACACTGCTGGTAGGTTTTCAGTGGTATTGTCATTTTCCAGAATAGGCCAGGGTGACATTCCAGCAGTCATTCCCCCCTCCCGCCCCCCGGGACAGCAGGCTGTAAAAGGAGATGACTGAGAGCGGCCAGGGGGGAGACACAGGCCAGATGCTCCTACGGCTACCAGCAGCAGGGAGGGTAAACAGGAGGCCTGCACTAACGTCAGGCCCACAGAGATGAACTCCGCCGGGGCCCTAAGCAGCCACGCTGCACCCGCTCCTGTCTCCTGCACAGCATTTCCCCGCTCCTGCCCCCGAGCTAAGGGCCAAACTGATTCGTGGGTTTTATTTTTTTTCTCTGAAGTTCTCATGTTAGATGGGTATGTTATGCTAACCCTCAGCTAATCCTGGGGTGCCCGGGGGGGCTGTGGGTCTCGCGGCAGCAACCCTGGAGGATGTTCCTTCTGTTATGCCTCCCAGTCAACAGAAGAGCCAAAGTAGAAGTTCTGCAAGAACGCTGCACGGAGTTGCAGGGTACTACAAAGATTGGAGAAGCTCCATATCTGGGAGTTTCCTGGGTGCTTTGCTCAAAGCTCAAAAACACAGATTAATCATCACAGCAGGGAAGTGGAACAAACTGGGCATGAGGGAAACTGAGCTGAGTTCATCCACGTCTCATCAATTAAAGCACAAGTATCAGATTAAAAATGCAGTCTATTTCTTCTTCATTTTTTCGATTTTGGTTTAACTGGATTTTTAGAAAGTGGTTGACATTGGCAGGAGAATCAGGATACAAACCACTAGTGACCGTTCCCACTGACATCCTGTTACTGTCTTGTTAATATGGAGCTGCTGTTCCAGGTGTTCCAGGCATTACTAAACATATATTGTTCTGTTTTGCTAATTAGTCAGGAAATAATAAGCTCAAGCTGTCTGTGACTTCCTCACATTGTTAAGCTAGGAACGCTTGTGTATTTCTGGTCTTTTCCCATGTGCCCCTGGCTCCCTTGCTCGTGTGCGTGTTCCATTTAGAACCGGTGAGTCACCAAAATAAAAGGTGCCGTTTTGTTTGGATCGCTGCTACGCTAATATAATAACAAGCTGTTAGCATCGGAATTGCAGAAGTGATTAGCAGTGCTGGCAGCTGGCGAGCTAACGCGCCGATAGCGACCGGCAGTGCTGGCAGCTGGCGAGCTAACGCGCCGATAGCGACCGCCGGCGCCGCACTTGCCAGCCCCATCATTCTTCAGAAACGTACCAACAGGACTGCGCCTCTCTCGGGAGGTGAGCATGTAAACAGTCCAGCAAAACACAATCAGCTGCAAATCGAAACAGAACACTTCTTCACCGTTTTCCGCGACCCACTGCTTCGTAATCAGAGTTGGATAATTCAGGTACAGAGAGTAAAAGTCCAGACCAAGATTTTGTTTCAACCAACCAGTACAGCATAAAGAGTCACAGTCACAGAGTACTCAACTGCTTGGTTGAAACAAAATCCTGGTCTGGACTTTGACTCTCTGGAGCTGAATTACCCAACTCTGTTCATAATATATACTAAAACCACCACTAAAGATTAAAAATTAACGCCACACAACAGACAGAGTGGCAGTCCTGCCTGAGGATTTGGAAACGCAAGGTCAGAGGTCACTTATCTTCACTGGGGTTGTTCTTTGTGTGAGTGTGTGTGTGGGTCAGGTATACATTACATTGTGGGGACCAAATGTGTGCGTGTATGTATGTGTGTTTACAGAGCTCTTGACAGTGTATAGGTCTACAGTGTCATCATGCACAAGCTACCTGGTAAACAGTTATGATGGATTAATGGAAAGTTGGGTGTGTTCCCTATTAATGCGTGTGCACAAATGTCCTGCTTTGTACACGCCCACCATCCCCGCTCTGTGTGCCCCTCCCCCACTCACTTCCCCTTTCTCTCTCTTTAAAACTCAGCACCCCCCACAGGCAGCAGACCCACGGGCAGCGTAACTGGTGCATGTCCATCATTCAGTGTCACAAGGGGGGTGAGCGGTCGCTGAACAGCCGAGCGAGGCAAAGGGTGCGGCAGATGCCGAGGGGGGTCACGGCCCATCAGCGACCACCGCAGCAGGTGTTCACTGCTAACTCCCTAACAGCACGTGACCTTCATAGGAGGGGGAGGCTATCACATCCTTACCTGAAGGGGGTGCACTAGCTGCCAGTGGCTGGTGTGGCTGTTCATTACAGTCTATACTGTTTTGTTTGTTTGAAGGGTGTCGAAGAGTACCACAATAAATCATGTGAAGGCCTTACTGACCAGTGAAAATGCCTCCCCAGCATGGGCCGGAAAGACGCATCTCCCCAGCGCGGGCCGGAAAGACGCATCTCCTCTGCGCAGGCCGGAAAGACTGCGGTTTCAACCTTTGTTTGACTATACCAGTTTAGTTTATTCATTTGCAAGGTCACTGGTGGTTTAAGTAGCACTAGTGACAAAGACTAGTACAGATAGCTGACTGACAAAGTGATTGATCCTGATTTGTCTGCAGAGTGATGTGTTCATAGCAGCTCCAGCCCCCTAAAACCGCTCAGCAACACAGACCTCTGCTCACCAACACAGACCTCTGCTCACCAACACAGACCTCTGCTCACCACCCCCAAAAGCCCTCTGCTCTGCCTCCCCTGTCACCTGAAATATTACCCACACAACCCTCTTGTGGCTCAAAGCTGCACCCTGATCCACTGCACACACTGAAAGACAGACACACACAGACACAGCCAGACAGACACAGACACACACAGACACAGCCAGACAGACACAGACACACACAGACACAGCCAGACAGACACAGACACACACAGACACACACAGACACAGCCAGACACAGCCAGACAGACAGTCCCAGATAGACACACAGGCATGGCTGCACTCTCTCTCTTTCTCTCTCTCTCTCTGTCACGCACAGGTTTGTAATTATATCATTGTGGGGACTCTCCATTCATTTCTATGGTGAAAACATGACGACTTTAACCCCTACCCAGCCCTAACTTTAACTAAGTAATCAAACAAAAAACAGCATGGCATTTTTGACTGCATTCACAGATATTTGTGGGGACCTGAGAAATAGTCTACAGATGTCAGCAGACAGACTTGCTTTATTACCTACATCACTGTGAGCTGTCCTGTGCATTATGGGCAGTGTGTAACTCACCAGTGGGGCTCGGTAACTGGCTCACACCCTCCAGCCTCAGAGAGAGAGACACCAGCTGCTCTGAGCAAATCCAGCAAACATACCCAACCAACCGTGAAACCAGCTCCTGCACACCCTGCAGGTAACACGACATCAATCCTGCCAGTATCCATCTATCCACCCAACAATCCATCCCAGGCCTAGGTGATGCAGCACAAAACAGGGGACACCCAGGGTGGATGTGCAGTACCCACACACACACTCACAGATCACTGGCAGCATTCAAGCCCCCAACACAACAGTGCTACTCACAGAGCCTCCAACAGCTACCTGCTATAAATCAGTCAAGCCTGAGGCTCAGCCGTTATTATGGAAACAAAGGATACATGTGAATTTATGGACAGATTAACATGCCTTATCATTGCAACTTTCAGAAAGAGCTTGATGGACTTTGGCCCCGCAGACAAAAAGGAGACCTTGCAGATCATCCCCCAAGGTCAAAGTTCACCCTGGTCAACTGCCTGCAATCCTCACAGGCAAGGAGAGGAAGTGAGAAGCCTGGTGGTGACAGTGAACACTGCATCTCCGAGGCTGCAGGGAAAGATGACAGATGGACAGCCTCCAGGATAAACACTGTGGAGATTTAATCAACACTGCAAAGCGATTCCCTGTGAATACACAGCTTAGAGAGAGAGAGTGCAGGAGAATTGGAGAGTGAGATCATCACACTGATCATCAAAACACTGACACAGTGACCGTAAAGCAGGTCACCGCCAGCGTGTTACCGTAACAGTAACGCAGATCATCATAACACTGACACAGTAACCGTAAAGCAGGTCACCGGCGGTGTGTTAGTGTAACAGTAATGCAGATCATCAAAACTCTGACACAGTGACCGTAAAGCAGGTCACCAGCGGTGTGTTAGTGTAACAGTAATGCAGATCATCAAAACTCTGATACAGTGACCATAAAGCAGGTCACCAGCGGTGTGTTAGTGTAACAGTAATGCAGATCAT